ATGGGACAGTTCTAGGACAGTTAACTCTAAAGCTGAATTTATAAAGTTTTTATGTCACCTTCAACTGAACCCTATTAGATGGCTTTACAACTGTTATTACTTTATAACCTCCTGACTGTAAATTCTTCCATTATACTTTATTTATTCAAGGATAAAAATGTGTGCCCTGATGGTTTGTTATTTAAAAATAAAGGATTGCATGCACTTAAAAATAAGATGATTGGTAGATTAGATAAAGGAAATGGAAACCATTCCCAGTTACAGGTCTCTGGGTCCACTGTGAACATGTACAGTAGATGGAACCGGAAGATATGGTAGATAGCCTTTTACTCTCAAATGGAATTCTCAGAACACAGAAAGCTCTTAAGAATAAAAAGTAATGCAAGAAATAATAGCTATAACATTCCAGTGGGGAAGTCCATTCTTAAAATAGTTCAACATTTAGCAACATCCAGGAATTCAGATGATTTGAGTGAATTTCAGATTTCAGCGTATCTTTATGGTTAAGTACATCTTTTTCAAAGACAATTCATTTCATTTAGAACAAATCAATTGATTCAAATGGACAGTTGTGGGTGCTCTTTTTTTATATATATAAATTCTAATTATTATTTTGGATCCCTCTGAGATGTCTTTTAACTACAGATTTCTTCATCCACAGTTAGCATTTCAGTCTAACATCCTTCGATAAAAATGTGGATATGGTTTATGAATTATTCATACAATATATACTCACAGGTAAGCTGAGAATTTTTGGTACCAAAATACACTCCCAAAATTAGGTTTGGCTTATCTGTAGATGGATCTATCCATGAATGTGTATGGTAATAGTGCTGCTTAGCTATCAGTAATATTATAGGAACTTTGTAAAACAACTTCTGCCACTGTAATCATCTTTAGAAGGCAATAGTTAGCATCATATCATGGAAATCTGTGAAGAATGTCAAAAAAAATCAAGATGGCAGCTGCAATCACACTATAGAAGCCCTGCTTTTTGATCATGTTCTGGCTGCCATCTTCACTGCTACCTGCAGACACTTCTGTACAAAAGCATCCTTCTTTCTAGACCAGTGCTGTCCTTTGGTTCTGCAGTGGTAGTGGCCAGGTGGTGGAGTAAACTTTTTTATTCATAGTTTAGCCCTATGTTTTTATTTGTAAACTTGACAATGAATTTACATCATAAGAACATATCATCTCTGAGTACAGGTAAGCTATGCTATTTAAATTTCTCCCATATGTTAAAAAACTTACAGAAAGAAAGGGAAAAAGATGTCCTTGTATAGAGTAGAATATTAGAAATAGGGCTATGCTTAAATTTTTCTTCCAAACTGTAAAAATATAACACACAAAGATTTGTAAGCATGAACATTTATTGATCAAATATCTATATCTTAAAGAGAAATTTATTTAAATTTCTAACCTGTAGGGGGAAAAAAGACAAAACACTTGTGATCTACTATGAAGTATTGCTTCTTCATTGTGTGTGGATTTTAATCACAGTGCAACAACTATGTCAGTCTTTTTCTGTTAGCATCACATTTGCAAATATTCACTCAAATATCCATTCCATTTTAATGTGTTTTTAATTTTATTTATTTCATTTATATATTAATCTTTTATGCTGCCCATTTTCCCTAGGACAGCTTACAAGTTATAAAATAAGTAAAAATAGTTAAAATATTTTTTTAAAAAATAGAATGACACATATTAACATGTTATTAAGATTAATATGAACTTTCATACTAATGAATGAACATTAATAATATGAACATTTGGATTTAAATATATATTTCAACATTTATTCTCAAAATATATATTCCTACATGAACCAAATACCTATTTATGCATTCATGATCTGTTGTTTTGAGTGAAGAATTGTACCACAAAATTTTGACAGCAAAATCCTAGATCTTGCTTTGGGAAGGATTGCAAAGCACAGATTAGTGAAGCAGCCCTAGATTTATAGCTTCTTGTCTCAAAGAACAGCAATATCTTCTTACATTCCAAAAAGATCAGTCTTTTATATTGTATTTTATCATCAGAACAACTCTATGAGATAACTTTGTCTGAAGGATGGTGATTTGCTCAGTGTAAAAAAATTTCATGGCTGAATAGGAATTTGAATTTGAATTCCCATTAAATTCCTACTCTGAAACTGCACAGAGCTTTTTATTATTGTTATTACTTCTCTACATAGAAATATTGAATAAACCATTCTTCACACTAACAATTTCTATATCAAATGATTCCAATTGCCACGCCACAAATATTTTGAAGTACAAATGCTAGTATTCCAAGTTATCATGGCCAATATTTATATTGATTGTGTACATGCTTAAGTAAGAGACAGTTTGGTGTAGTGATTAAGGCACCAGGCTAGAAATCAAGAGAAACTAATCCTGCCCCAGTTGAATGACCTTGAGCCAGTCATTTTCTGTCAACCCTAGAAGGGAGGAAATGGCAAATCACTTCTAAAAAACCTTGACAAGAAAACCTGAACATGATTGAATGGAAGAAAAAAAAATATTGTGTTTCTAATGTAGATAGAAGAAATGTTCCGCCTCTGTCTTGAATTATGATGCTGCTTAATTTATTTCAGTCCAAGAATTATATTTGTTTTTTGAATGACAATTTACTGGTGAGAGAAAGAAGGGAGGAGGAGGAGAAGAAGACTATTTAAAAAAAAAAAAGGCTTTCACAGTGCCCATATTCAACACAAACATTGATATCCTTTGGCGTAAATTATGTGGGGTCTGTCTGTCTTTCTAGATATGCTGTTTGCTGAAAACATCACCTCCAGGTTCAAAAACAGTAGACAGGAGTTAGCTAAATGAAAAGTGATATGAGGCCACAGTCAGAATAAAGCTAATATTATATTTCTTCACAAAGTATCCCATTTAAGCATGTTTCATAAGACAATGTGAAAGACAACATGGCCCTGAGGGACAGAGTCAACAGTCCACAATATTTATTGTTTGGGTTATAGTTTTAAAAGGCCTTTTTAAAGATCGTCCTGCTGCACATAAAATCGGGGTTACAATTTCAGATATTGATAAGGGGAGGAACATTTTTTTAAAACACAATGTATAGGATTACTGATGGATACTTTCTGTATTATACTGAAAAAACAGTGAACATTAATTATAATTTTGTTTAACTTATTCTAATATTGATAATAACTATACAGAGCGTCAACATGCACCAGATAACTTTATATTGGTATGTTTATTGTACATCTTTGGGAGTAACTGGCACATATAGATATTGAATAGTTTATAGAACAGGAATGGAATGGAATGGAATAGAATAGAATAGAATAGAATAGAATAGAATAGAATAGAATAGAATAGAATATTCACCAAGGGTGATTAAACACACAAGAAATTTGTCTCTGGTGCAGAAGATCTTAGTGTACATGCACAGCAACATAATAATGATAACCATGATAATATACCAATAAGAGGAGAAAGTAAGAAATATAATAAGAAGGATAAATAATAATGCTACAGCCATACTAATTCAGTAAATATGCATACATATTAGACAGCACTGTGAAAATTGGGTGTTCAGAGAGTGATGTCCTCAGGGAAAAAATGTCCCTATCTCTAGTTGTTTTGACTTGCAATGCCCTGTAGTGTCAACCTGAGGGGAAGAGTTGAAACAATTTATGTCCAGGATGTGAGGGGGTCTGCAGATATCTTCTCAGCCCTCCCTCTGACCCACTCAATATACAGGTCTTCTATGGAAGGCAAGCTGATTGCAGTTATTCTTTCTACAGTCTTAACTATGTGTTGGAATCAGTACTTGTCTTGTTTGGTTGTTGTACCAAACCAGATAATTATAGAAGTACATATGATAGACTAAGAGGACTATATCAACAGTTCCTGGGGCAGTCTGAACTTCCTGAGTTGACACAGAAAGAAAATTCTTTGTTTTCCTTTTTAATAATGGTTCTAATGTTGAGTGTATAGTTCAAATCCTGGGAGATTTGCTGTTTTCCACGCTTTGTTGGAGTCAGTCTTCCAATATCCTTGAAAATGTTTCATTCTAGCTGGGATGTTGGATCTGAGGTCAGTAACATCTAGCTAATTCCCAACTCCTGCCAATTCAAATGTGGAAACAGGAGCTGAAAATATAAGCTAAATTGACACATTGACTGAAATCTTAGTTTCTCAAACCACAGTCTGTTAAATCTGCTTTAAATGGCTTAGTTTGTATAATACAGAACAACATACCATAAACCAGGAATAGATTTTCAGCTAGAATTGTGTTTAGAATTTTAATAGCACTTACTGGGTGCAATCACAAAATGACCACCATAACAGACAAATCACAAACTGTCCATCTGCCAGTGTGATGTTGCAAGCCTGAAGATGTTGCAGCAAATAAATGTATTAATAAATAGAAACTCAAACTAGTGCTTTCCTCTGCAAGTTGCTAGCTTTGTATTCATTTTGATTAAGTAATCTTTTTAAACTACAGGTACCAAACCTCAAAGGAGATCTCTGATGGTACATTGGCAATTAAAGGCTCAACATTGCCTATCTGCCATTCTGTAAATTATGGCTTCTAAATCACATTAGCTATGTTTACATAAAAGAATAAGCCAAATCCAAACAAACTTCAATAACCTTTAGCCTAGGTAAACCTAGTCATGAATCTTTTAAAGTAACAGTACTAACAGTTATGAAGGTAATTGTTGTTTCAGCCTTCCAAAATGTTTCCTCTCTTCAAAGATCTTCTGGAAAATGATAGATATCTCTGCTTTTTAATCCAATCTAGAAATTCATCCTTAGATAATATTCACAGAAAGAGTAAGAAGAGAACATACACAGAGGCACCATTTTGTTCCAATTAACTGATTTAACCAATCTTGATTTTGGCAAAACATTTGATGCAATACCCCATGACATGTTGATTAACAAGGTAATTAAATATAGAATGAACAGCATGACATGTAACTGTCAGGCCTAACCCAAGAATGATGTAAAACAATCAGCCAAAGTTCAGTTCTTTATTTGCTTATCTGTATAAACAAAAATCTTGCCAGACTAAACCTCTATTGCCCTAACCTAATGGATATACCTGGAAGGTTCTACGCTGTGGCTATCCTAAGTCTGTTTGTTTTTTCCCATGGTCCAACTCCAGTCTATGATGTCTCTTGTTTTACCACCACCCCGTCCTTGGAATGTGCTCCCTCCTTCCTGGGAACCTGCTGCGTTACTGTAGTTCATCACAATAGTCGTCATGTAGTTTGTGATGAAATGGGGAAAAATTATCACAAGGATCAGTCTGATTCTCAAGTCTTCAATATTGTTATTAATCACTTAGATGTAGAGGAAGGAAATGTTTATCAGACTTGGCAGTTGACTCAAAGCTGCCTGAGGTAAATAATATCCTAAAATATGGGAGATAATCTTGATAGGTTACTAGTAACAGAATGAAAACATCAAAGGTAAAGAGATTTTCAATTACAAAAAAAAAATCAAATGCATATTAATGGCACTATGGAAATAGATATTGCAGTAATAATTGACCGCAAACTAAAAATGGGTCAACAAAAAATGCAAATGCAGTTTTAGACAACATTAACAAAAACATACTTCTAAATCATGGGAAATCATTATTGCTCTTTACTTTGTTTATGCCAAATCCCACCTTAAGTATTATCACAGGACACCATGAACATGTCACTAAATCTCTCTTTTGGAATACAATCATACATTCATAGGTTTGCTTATTTGTTTTATTATATTTATACATCACTGCATTGTATTGTATTTTGCATTGTATTATACATCACTATGATCTATAAGGACTTCAAAGGACTTCATACCAAAAACACTAAAACATAATTAAAACATATTACATATCAGGAGGTGTTTGTGTGTGTGTGTGTGTTGGTTACTCATTTCTCAGCATTAGATGCTGATAGCATCTGTACCATATTCGAGAAATGAAACTCTCTGATTTTAGACTCTTTACACAGCTTTGCCACCTTCAGCCCTCAGAAGAACTAACAAATTTTTGCAGAATCCTTTAAAAAGGATTAATAGAATCAGAGAGTTGTGAGTTAGAAGGAACCACCAGGATTATCTGGTCCAGAAGGGCAACATGGATGATGAGGGGACTAGAAACTAAATTCTATGGAAAGATATTGAAAGATTGTGTAGTTGTTGATGTTTTTACCCCTGTAAAAATGCAGTTTTCTCTGCCTTATTTGATGAATAAAAAATATTTTGGGGCAAATTTTGCTATGCCTTCAAGACCAGGAAAGTCATCTTCTTTGCCTTATTGTTCCTTTATAGGAAACGGAGAAATTTGTTACAGCCCCATGGCAACATGTCTTTGACTGCTTTCCTTTCTCCTCCCCTTCTTGTAAAATGGCCCACTCACCATACAATACTACTTTGTCATCTTCTTCCTCCAGGGTCTTTCCAAAAGCAGAATGAAAGAGGGATAATACTGTTCCGTTGGTGCCATCAGACTGGATTTGGTGACCATAAACCTTAGTAGAAGTAGCAAGACACTCCCCATTGGCCAACCAGTAGGGGTCTCCAATCGTGGGCCTTGAGCCCTTTGGAACTGGGCCACAGAAGTGGCAGGCAAGTAAGTGTGCATCCCCACTTGAGCGAGCAGTGGAGAAGCGCGGGTCTGCATGCTCCATTTGTGTGAGCAGTGAGAAAGTGCATGCTTACAGGCTCTATTTGCGCAACCAGCGGACACACATGCCCACCACTCATGCAAATGGAGCTGCACATGCTTACCCAGTGCTCACGTGGAACCATCCTCTCTTTCACATACACACACCCAGCCAGTCCAGAAAGGTTGGGGAACTCTGAGTTAGAGATTATAACTACCTAATCACACTTTGTTCTAAATGGTCAACTTGGATGGAATGTGAAAAGGAACTGAATTGAGCAGCACAGACTTGATCCAAATATATATCATGAAGTGCAAGTAATGCAGTTTGCCAGTAATCCACCAAATCCCAATCACTGATCTATTTGTTTTATCAACTGCAGATAAACAAGATTTATTTTGAAAAAAAATTGTCATCATATATTAATTAACTTCTCATTAACAGAGAGGAAAAGCCTCCAAACTACCATAGTTTTATGCTTTAAGAATAAACATTTATATACAGACTTTAGCAAGAAAAGCTTCCCACAGCCTAGGGATACCCAGTCTACTAACTGAACTGTTATCAGTCCATCTGCCCTTAAAGTCAGAACTACAAAAGCTAATTCAGAATATAGCAATATTTTTGTTCCTCTCTCTGTATATAATATATTCCCTTGAAGTGGAAGGGAAGGGGAAAACAGCATGCCAACAAACTGAGTTAATATTTGGATTACTCAAAAAATTGGACAAGTGATTTTTACGCAAAAGTATAGGGAAAGATGGAAAATTATACATTAAATTATAAAAGGCTCTCTGCAAAATCAAAGATGTACCTGAGAAGATACAAATTGGTACATGTGATCCTTTAAAAAGCCAAGCGTCGTTATCATTCCAATATAACATCTTTTCAGACAATTAACATCGTTCCTCATCTGTTTGACTTCAAGCATACACCATTCTCAAGATCTTTAAAAGTTGATGTCTCAGTTCTTCTGCCACAGGCGAACATCATGGTCATTAAAGCAATGTTAATTAATTAATATCCATAATTTGATGTGAATAACCATTCTAATCTAGCTTTTCACCACCATTACTTTCTCCTTCTAATTGATTGAACATTTCCAGGGCTGCTTTTGATGCAGAAAAGGAGGTATTCTCAGATTGAATTAAACTGTGGATCTTGCTATGCAGAGCAACTTACACTAAAGCAGTAAATACAGTTCATGAAGGGCATATTGCATAGTGCAATAATTCTGTTTGTGTGGTTTTCTTCCTTCCAATGCTGTCATTATATATTTTGATATTTGCAAACATTGAGTAAAAGCTTGGAAGAGAATTGTCCAGCTTGACTTTCAGGTGAAAAAAATAGACAAGCTAGCTATGTCAAATATGAAAGATCAAATGAAGGCTCCTTCAATCTATTTGTGTAACTATGACATCAGCTGTCATCAGTAGCTCATCGATGACAACAACAAAGAATTCTGTACAGTCTTTAAATTCCAGAGGTAGTAGACAGCTGGATACTTTTCCTCTTCATTTTAGGGGTGGAGAGATTAAGCTTTGCAGAATCTAAAAAACATAAAGCAGGGGTGTTAAACTCGTGGTACACAAGCTGGATGAGTCACGCACTGGCCATGCCCACCCCCGGTTTAGCGAAGGGGAAATATGTCATGTGACAACAATGTGACACCGCAACTTTGACACCCCTGACATAAAGCAACCATAGTATCTGCTGAAAATGAAACTTCCTCAGACTGAATGATTTTTCATACTCAAGGCAATTAAGGGGGAAATTATGTCTTCAACCTTTGAAGATACTCACCCACTAAATCCCCCCAAAATGAAAAGGGGCCTGGAAAATTAAAGCCCAGCCCATTCCAGTAATGCAGTAACAAGACTAGTGATACTACATCTCAATAGATTCCACCCAAGCTTTGTTTTGACTCTCCCTAAGCAAGAAGGCAAATTAAAGTATTTCCATGACAAGGAACCTTTGAGCAGCACAAGTGTTGTTTCAGTTCTTTCTGCTTGGTTCTTACTCCAGATTCTGCACCACAGCTCAGTGCTAACAGAAGTACTACAATTTCATTAGAGATGCAAGAAAGGAACACAAAGCCCTTTTGTATCCACATCTAGTAAGCTGATTGATTTCTAGGTGGATTTAGATTACAGCTTAAGTGCTCCTGTATGAAAACACGGATAGACTGCTTTAAGCCAGTTTTAGTTGTCATGGTTTCCTGTAAGAAATCCTGAAGCTGCAGTTTGGTGCCAATGATAAAATTCTGAAGCAGAGAACAATAACTACTCACCACACACACACACCCTCAGCATACACAAATATAGAGAAAGCACAGGCCCTAGAATGTTATCAAAAGCATGTTTTTTGGTGCAGCATAGAAAAATTATCCTGCTTTTTGCCTATTAGTTCTCATTCCATTTGCTTAGGATTTGCTTAGAATTCTTTCAAAAGATAATATTGGAGAAATTGTTCTTGCAATTATTTTGTTATGTGATAATCATGTGATGTAAGGACCACTGAGTGTGCTTCACATTTTGCCAAGACTTAGCCAACAGAGGGTAAGTGGATGCTACCACTGCCATCCCCAACCTGTGACATACTAGTTTAATGTCTTGTCTAGGACTCTTCAAGGATACAGAACCACTCAGAGACTCTCATGGGCCTTTGTGAGAACCAAGTATTGACCAATGGATCTGAATAGCACAGGGAGCTTCTGATCCTTGGCATTCAGCATGTCAGGATAGAAAGGGAAAGTAATGAAGGCATACTATCATGGCAAGCCATCCTAAAAAGGCTTATGGAGGCCCAAGAGAAGGCTTATGCTCAGTGCAAGCCAGCTAGAAGCCAGAGAAAGCAAACCCACTCATTTCAGCTCTTTTGAGGATGGAAACAAAGCCTGGTTCATCTCAGGCAGTAAACAGCTTTTTCTTGGACCAAAAGATATAGATCGTTTTCCAGGGAATCTATCTCTGTGTTTGTAGATATAGCTGTACCTACCTCTATCTATATGTGAGTTTCTGTGTATGTGCATTTACATTAATAAAAATGATGAGATATGAAAATGAAACACATATATCACACATAAGTAGCTCTTCGGTTATTTTATTTTCATGTCGGAAAATTTATAAGAATATCCTATAAAATAATGGCTGGAATCTAACATCACTTTAAATCTAACTAAGTCTTATTAATTAAGCTATCATGGGCTGGGATTGCACAACATGCTAATAAAACATAAAATAAGTTTTATGATGCTCAAACATAAGTCTTCTTCAAGATTTTGATGCTTATATAAACCCCTTGCTCTAAAATAGGCCTGTCAAACTCATGGTCTCTGGGCCAGATGCGTCACACGCTGGCCACACCCACACCCAGTTTAGCGAAGGCAGGAAAGTTGTGATATGTCACATGACGCTGCCATGATGATGCGAGTTTGACACACTTGTTCTAAAGGATTTAATTAAGAAAGATTAGAACTGAATAGAGCCAGCCAATTACCTTAACTTTAAAATAAAACTCCAAGTAGTGGGATTGAGAACAAGGCAAAATGTTACAGAAATACACAGAAGAAAGAGATAAGAAAACAAAAGGAAGAGAAAGCAGAAACATCTCAAGGATAAATTTGTGTTTTCAGGGAGACTGTCATGACCCTGTTGGAGTCTGAATCTGTGGGGGAAGATGAGCTGGAACAAGAATTGACAGCAATTGAGAGGGCAGCTCCATTGGCATTGGAGGTAATTGGGGAAGGACAGAGTCAGTCCAGGCAAGGCTTTTCAAAATTAGTAAGGCCTACAGGCAGGGAGGAACAGAGGCAGGATGAACATGAGAGACAGAGCTCAGATGAGGAGCAAGGACCACCCACTCCTGATCCAAGGGCTCGGAGAGTGCAGAGAAGGCATGATCAACGCAGACTGAGCAGGCTACTCGGGAGGAGAGTGCCCGCCCATCTTCACCAGGCCCACCTGGGGAATGAGACGCTGTGGGAAGGAGCCTTTGTTGGGAACAAACACTGAGTTTCTGAAGTGTTGCATGCCGATGTTTGAATTTGCCAAGAGTCCTTTTGGCATTCTGGACTAATTACCTGGATCTTTTGCTCCCTGAACTCCTTGATTTTTCCTTGATTTTCCAAATACATTTGGATTTATTGCCATGCAGCCTTGGTGCAGACAGCACTGGGCTGGATTAATTGCAGCCAGAGGCTGCTTGACGTTTGTTATCACTCTGCTCTGGGACTTTCCAGAAACGTGGGAGTGTTTGGAGAGATTTAAAGTAATAAAGGGGTGGTTTGAACTTCCAGCTGTTTGTGTTATCTCTATGCCGTGCCCTGGGTTATCACAGAGATGATGGAAGAGTCTATAACATAGTACAAATGGTACAAATCTATTTGTCTATACTATATACAGTAGAAGGTCCAGGAAGAATAAATAGTAATCATAATGGTCAAGCATAATGGAGCAAACTTTCATAGGATGTTAATTTGACCACTCAAGATTTTCCTACAGACCAGAGACACCTTCTGAGTCACAGAGAGAATCAATGATATAACCTGTTACTAACTGAAATGGAGTGTGTGACTCACTCACTGAAGAATAATGTTGTCGTGCCACTTAGCTTTACAGGCATTTCCCATAGAAGGAACTCACTTTAGTAACACCTGAGTGCTGATAATTGGCCCATTTCCAAAGGACAAAGACAAGAGAAGCTGATTAAATCTTATTATACAATATTAATTAAAGCTGGTGTCACAAGTCCAAGAACATTGGCTCTGTCACTTTCCAACCTTACATAAAGCCTACTGCATGAGCCTACTGTTGAGAACTGAAGAAGCTCCTTGGATGAGAAGCGAAATGTTTCCAAACCAAAAACAAAGAAAGTCCAGTTGCCATTTGGAAAAAGCACTTTTTGGACAACCATGACCTGGATGATTGGGAATCTCTATAGACAAGGCATGTTGACTTTTTTTGAACAGGAGCTAATGAGTGCTTAGGTAGCAGATACCATTGGCTGGCCTCACTTGAAGAACAAAAGTGAGATTCTTAAAGCTCAAGCTACCTACTTACATAGTTATACGATCTGGAGTTAGTAGAATTTCGAGAACACAGAATCTAGAAGTGGCTTTCCAATGACAAGAAAGTTTTTGTAGGCAATTCATGATAGAATTATCAGTGGCATGCTGACCGTGACTCTCCTCAGGTTACAGGGAACATGGTATGTGTTAAGTAGATCCTTTGGAAGTTTCCTGTCAATTATCAATCTTCTTGCCAAAAAAAAAAAATCCTCTTTGGCACAAAATTCTTGAGGATGAAGGATGATAGAAGAAACTCTGACTTGCAGAATGCGTTGATTATCATTCTTTCTTACTCTGTCAGAGATGGCATCGTAAAATGTATAAAGAAAGCTCCATTTCTCCCTGTGATTATGGATACAGGTCAGCATATGCATTTATATCCTTACTTAGACTTCTGTGCTGCTGCAAACAAACAAGACTAAGCAGAATAAAACTCCTCTAAGCTGTAAATCAGAATAAATAAAACAATACAAAACTATAATAATAATTTGGCATCTAGAAATATTCCCTCACATCCACAATATACACAGTGTACCTAACAGCAGAAAATGCACTACATACTATACCCAAAGGGGTGCATTGGAAGATCCAGGTTTAAATGAAACCTTGAACCATAAACTAGCCCACTACAATTTAATTTACTGTGTAACACAAATACAGTCTGTGTGGTTAGTTGGGGATAGAATACCTTGCCAGTCCAGAAAATTAGGTTAATGAATATATAATGATAAAGTAATCTGTGGTAAGCCACTGTGGTAGAGCAGGCCTACTTTATATTACCTCACAGATGTTTCAAATATTATTTTTATAGAGCCAGTTTGGTTTAGTGGTTAAGGCCCCAGGCTAGAAACCAGGAGAGTCTGAGTTTTTTCAATAAGCAGAAGTAATTTTTTATGAACCCTCCTAAAAAGATAAAAGGGGATCAGCTTCTGGCTTCAATGTTAAGTAGATAATATCAAGTTAATATACTGTATGTTGAGATAGATATTTCTCTTTTGTTTGCTTCTTTCTCACACTAGCAGAGAATTTAAATATTCTGGCTGCTTTTTCTCTCCCACTGTCAGATTTCTCTTGTTCGGTTTGCCTAACCACAAACCACCTTCATATGCAGGAGTGATAAATCTAGAAGGAAACAGCTCTGTCCTTTTCTAAAAAGGTTGCTCTTTCACCTGCTATCCACTAGAGCATATCTTCCAGCTGCCTAGTAATGACATTACGAAAAGCAATTCAGCCCACATTGAAGCACAGATGGTACTCTGAGGTAGTGTGCTCCAACCAGTCATTTTATGTATTGTTTTGGAAAAAAGCTGGAATCTGTTACTGCTTGCCATGATGTTAAAGCACATATTGCCTGAAAATTTCATGGTAAACTGGAAACTGGGGGCGGGGGGGAGGGGGGGCTTCTAAAAAAACAAAACTGAATTTTATTTTATTACATTTCCAGTGATACCTTTGTCATGTGCCAGTACATTTCATATTATA